GAGAGTAAAAAAGACACAGGGATGCTGTGAAATGTCCCTTATTTTCAAATCCAGAACTTGACAGGGATGGTTTTGTGTTAGAAGAAACATGGCATATTGTTCGGTCGTATTTAGTAAGGTTGCAAGTTTCAGTTATAAATGGTCAGTTTAGGATGAGGATGAGCTGCATCGTTTGAAATGGAGCGGGTTTTCAACGTCTTTTTAACGACCTGAAAATTATAGCTTTTCACTTTCAATTTTCAACCAAATAAAGACTTTGTTTGGACATAAATCATGTTGTCTTTTCAACCAATTTTTGCTCAGTGGAACGTTTGAATTTAAATGTGCAAAAGTCCAGAAATATCACTAGTTTTATATCATAGATAGTTTTTTATGCTTAGCAGGAAAGTTAAACAGAAATCCCCCCAGGAGTTTTGTCAAGCAGCCAAAATTGTGTGTGAACAACAGAGCCTTTACTTTTCACACACACACCCAAACACACATTCACCTACCTGTGCTCAGACAGCGAGAGCAGACAAAGGCTTCTAATGTTGCTCATTAGTGAATTGAGGCCAATGAAGGTATGAAGAGTAAAGAAGTTTTCACCTGTTCAATCGGGGGGAAACAATAAAACATGAATTATAAGTGCATAAAACAATTAGAAATCTACTTAAGTTACAGTCATCATAAGAGGATATAAGATTAAACATCATATAACCAAATTATTTTTATTTTCCAATTACATATTTGGCATATGCATTGTGTTTTGTAAAGAGCCAGTTCCTATGGTTAATACGTGTTAATTTACAGTAAATGTCGTTAAGTGCATTTTCTTCTTTGACCTAAATCTTAAGTAGCACTATGCTGTAAGCTATAAATCATGAGAATTCTGGGTGTTGACTTAAAAGCAAAGCTGCAAGTCAGAAATTGTGGAGTTTTTCTTGGGAAACATGTCAATGTTTATTGATTTCCAGTGAAAGCAAGGCGTGTTTACAAAGATGCTCTTGAGAAATGTAGTAGGAAACAGGTATTCAACTATTCAAGTTAAATAAACGCAGATCGATGGATTTTACTCAGTCCGCACTTCATTTATCATGGAGCCCTTGTGGCACAGTATTCAGCCCTGTTCTGCCTGAGCAACATGTGTTTGCCCTTACTTATAACAATGGAAAATAGTCAAAGTTTAAACAAATTACAGACACTTTGGTTAACATGTTATGAATAACCCTTGAGAAAGAATCTGGTTTGTTATGGGAAGAAGCTATGTCTGGTCTACAAACACCCTCATGCAGAGAATGGTGTGGCCTTGCAGGTGAAACAGACTGAGTGAAAACTTTAATAGTGAGGAAATAGGATAAATTAATCTATGAAATAAGAGAAATCTAAATTTTACGACTACAGACATTAAAGCACTTTCATGTTACCGAGGCTAAACACACCTCAGAGCTGGTGCAAAAAAGGAAAAAAGCATAATGAACCACAAAGTTATCTCAACAGCCATTCTAGCAGACCAAACCCACGATCCAATGTATACAGTAATGTATCTAATAGTGTAAAAATGTAAGTATTTTCTTTAGTAACCCTTATAAGGGATTTCGATCTGCAAGATTGGCTTATAATAAATGTATAAGGTGCTGTAGCTCATGACAATGGAAAACAAGAAGTGAATGTAAAAATGATTACAAAATAAAGTAGTAAAATAACAATTTCATTTTAGGATATTCTTTTGGAGAAGCCAGTAATATTGTTATGTGATATGATTTTTTTTTATATAACTGATCCATGCATACTAAATACTATGGTCAACAATGATAATCATGTGGAAAGCAAAAAAACAGTGCTGAATCACTTCAGCAGCGAGGAACTAAATGTTATATAAAATTATTAAAAAAAACACTAAAATAACGTTTATTCTTCCTTACTATTAAAGATTCATTTGGCAACTAAGGATATATAGGCGGAAAAATCCAGTCCTTCCTGTTCAAAGCAGGCGGCGGATTTGATTGGAAGAGATTTGTATGCACAATGAAAAGTGTAATTAATTCTTCCTCTTGTATGACTGCGTTCTAAAGAACTGAGACCTCCTCCTCTTCCTTTTATTACCTTAACTGTCACCCATACAGCATGTCTCAACCCATATTTCTTCCTATATACCATTTCTTTAAAAGATGTTTTTACAGATGAGCTAAAAGACATTGGTTGGTAAACCTGTATTGCTGCTCTGTTACGCCTTGCTATGGTTTGGACTAAAATGAGCTTTTTCTTTTTGTTTCTTAAATAAGAATAAGTTGAAAAATAATTTCTACACTAATGCTAATAATCACAGTCATGTTATCACAGTCATGTTCATGCTTTGTGCATTACAGTGATCCACCTCAACTCCTTTCTTTTTATTGCTAGAACCAGTGGCATGGAACAGCATTAAAAAATGAGTTCCCTGTCTGAGGAATGATGCAGGCCGGTGCAGAATCAGGAATGAAACGGATATATATCAAAAGAAATTATAACATTCAGATCTCCATAGAAATATCTCTTCTAGATATTTATTCCCACAATACTTTTTAATAGTCAGGTATTTTAAGCCATTATACAAGCAACCACAGAAATTCAGATTGAATTTTTCAGTGCAAGAAAAATGAAAGTGAGTTTTTTTTTTTTTTTGTGAGGGACGTCACTGAGTACAGGAATATTTCTTACTTTCAGAAAAACAAATAAAGTCTAAACATCGACCATAAATTCTTTCTTTAAAACACTGTAGCATATAGTCAATATTTTGGTTTCTGATATGTTCACTTTCTATGGATGCATTTTTGTGATTTTATTAAATTCAGAACAAGTAATGCGATCTGAAAGAGGAAAACAACTTTAAAAGTAAAACAAATATATTGGAGAGAGCAAATTTTCACACTGATAGCAAAAACTGATTTTATTTGAGACTGAAGAAAAAAGGTTTTGAATGAAAATAATCAAGTATACAGCAGTTCTGTCAACAAAAAAGGGTCAAGCTCAGTTGTAGCATTAAGCACCTAAAATAAAATTATGGCAAAATCAGCCATGAATCTGTAATACATATGCAAAACTTATATTTCAAAACCTTAATAAAGGTTTGTGGACTGTTGACCATCTTCTAATTATTTAAAGCTTTTTGTTCTGTTTGGGACCATTGCCACACAATGTTACAGCACAGAGATAGAAATGGTTAAACGGTTGAATTATGATAACATCTTACATGATCACATAGGCAACTGAAAGACAAGAGAACAAACAGTTCCAGAAGTACATACAGGTAGATTATGATTGCATAACCTCTCTAAAGAAACTAAGTTACCATACCAGCTTTTTGTTGTTCCAAGGAAGTCACTGGAAGTAAAAAAACAAAACAAAAAACAAAACAAAAAACAGCTCTTTCCAGAGAAGATTGAGCAACTGAACAAAATTTTAATGTAATCATAACTGTAGCTTTTAAGCCTCAGGAATATAAAATAATGAAACATATATTATATAGCAGCAAAGTAAGAAATAAACATGATTTAAAAATAACACTGTGTTCCATGTATTTCTCTGCCTTTGCAGTTTGAACAAGTGAAAACGTTAAAACAATGATGAAAACATTAAAATATATGACAACAGATATAACTTGAGACATTGCTTCATTGTTTTCAGTAAACTTGAAAAATGATTTTGTGAATATACTCAGTTTAATTTGTTCTATGATTAGAAAAATAATGAAAAAAAAGCAGAAAAGAGTAATTTAAATAATCAAGATTGTTGGTGTTTATTTGTTTCAGAAAAAAGCTTGAAACAGCACAAAATGGACCCGTCAGTAAAGACGTTGCTACTATGTGGGTATAGTGTAAGAGTTATTTTTTCTCCTGAATTCTTGGCTCACGTGGACTTTTTAGGAAAATCTTTTAAATTCGATTTAAGGCACAGGGGC